GTTCAGTTTCAGGAATTTGTTTTGCCGGGGGGGGGGGTTGCAGTGAATTTTGCTTGTTAAAAAAAAAAGGTTTTTTGAGCCCTTTTTGCAGGAGATTCTTTTTGGGGGGAGTGTTTCAGAAGCAGAAGTCAAGAATTGTCTTTGGCAGCAGAGCAATGTTTCTCAACCTGGCTGGGGAATTCTGGGAGTTGGAGTCCACCCAGCTTAAAGTTGCTGAGGTTGAGAAACACTGCATTAGAGTAAAGAAGCTGGGACGAGAAATTGCAGATATTGAGGGGCGGCTCAGGGACAACTTATACCAGCTTGGTTTGCCCAATTAATTTTAAATAGCAGTGGCCCCCCAGCAGCACTTCTGCCGCACGCCCCACTTCCAGAATCTTTCCCCAGCGATGCTCCAGGAGCTGATCCCGTTCCTTCTCCCCCTCAAAGATCAGAACCCAATGATGTATTTCACCCCTGGGCCTTTTGCCCCATCCCATCTCACAGCCTTCCTTCAACTCCAGAGCAGCCCAGTTGGGGACAATGGGATTTGTAGTCAAACCTATCTGGGGGCTTTGGGTAGAGGAAGGCTGATAAACCACGCTTTGATTTCTTTTCTTATTTAAAAAACCCCCGATTCGCTTTCCTTCCTCTCCCTTTTACGTGTTATTTTGCTGGCCGAATAATGTTCTATTTCTAGCATTCCAACTTTTTTATTTTTCTGTCCCGTTCTGCCAACGCCCTGCGGCTTTTTAATTTCTGCCAACGCGCCTCTCTTGTCAGAGGCACGCTGCTGTTAATATGATAGGCTTGACAGAGGTGGAGAGAAGGCTGGGGGCAGAGAGGAAGGAACGCTGAGGACTACCACCTTAATCCCTTGAAAAGTCGTGCCGTCGAAGGTTTCTGGACTCTTGATCAGGTCCTCGGCTGCTTTTAGGGGAGATCTGGACAAGCGGCTAAAAGGTTGAGCAGAAAAGGTGGGCATTCATAGCAGGAACATAAGGAGATGCCCAGCGGGCAGACCAAAGAAATGCAGGATTGATCCTCTGCTCTTCAGTGGAAGAATGTAAAGCAAGTTTGCCAAGGACCTGCTCGGGCCCCTGAGCAGAACAGAATGCCCTGCCGGGGCAAGTCTGAAACGGCGCTGCTGGAGATTCAAGGAAGGGTGGGGCCTGCACTTTTCCCCAAGTGGGCTTTTTGCAAAACGCCCGAGTTGCAGGCCAACTTTGACGGGCCCTGTGGAAGACGGAGGATGGGAATGTCAGGAACCCGAGATACCCCCCTGCAAAGGCTGGCTCCTTTTTGACTGGGGGGGCAGTTTGGAGGGGGACATGCAGGAAGATACAAGGGCCCGTTTGCAAAGAGAGAAAATCACGGGTGCTGTAATAAAAATGCTCTCTTGGTCAGGCTACCCAAATGTATAGCCTGGGCTGATGTTAATAAAGCTAAAATTGTTTTGAGACGCTTCGTATTCCTCTAGCGCTTTACTTGGAAAGTCCAGATTTTACTCATTTTTGTGAGCAAGCAGACCAGGGCCTTTTTCATTTCCACGTATTTTCTGACATCTACACCCTTTCAGTCCACATCACCCCAATTGGCTGCTCAAAAACGTCCTATTCCGCCACGCACGCAAAAAACCAGGCAGAACTTCAACGGCGCTGTCGTGACCACCATCTTGACTTTTTTGACCCTACCCGGCACGCACCCCTGCCACTCCAGCTAGTGAAATCAGATGCTTTTGAAATCCTGCCTCTCCCACTAGTCCCCTGCCCAACATCTTAACCTCGCTTAAAATGTCACGCAAGGCTTGCTTGATCCATAGGCCCTTTTTAATCTATGAATTCATTCGTTCCGTCTTCCATTTGGGATTGTTTTAATCAGGGGAGTTTGTAGATGGGCGGGCAAGGCTGAGATGGACTCGGGCGGTTTGGGCCCTGCAGCCCTGTGCAAACACAACGTTTGGCTTATGGTTCCCAGCATTGTGCAAACCCAGAAAATGGAGTTGATGTAGCCAACGGTCAGTTTATCAGAGGCTTCTGTGTCTTGTGAACCCCGCCTACCCATGTATATGTGTGGTATAAAGCAGGGTTCCTCAACCTTGGCGACTTTAAGACGTGTGGACTTCAACTCCCAGAATTCCCCAGCCAGCTGCTGGCT